TAATCAAATCATCTGGGTTTTCCCGTCTCCATTCCTCAACACATGCAACTAAATTTTCTTGATAATATTTTGACTTGACTGTCCTTAGCCCAGTTGAATATATTAAATTTGACACGTCTTTCTGGCTGGGCAAAAAATCGTCTGTTGTCCAAGATTGTGATCTATGTCCTGCAAAAAGTTGTTTTCCAACGGATGTGTCCAATATAATGAGGATACATGAAGCTGATAGGTATCCCTCAGTTACATAATCCTCAACTTTGGCAACTATTCTTTTATCAATTAGCATAGATATTTCTTCTACCTAAAATATAAATAAACTGTAGCTATACAATGTAAATGCAAATTATTCAACAGTTTTCTAAAGAAGAACTGGTTAAAAAAAATAACATTATACCATGCTGATAATTAACACTAGGCTTTTTAAATGAAATTTGATAACTAAACCTTTGTCAGGAACTTGTGATTAAGTTGATGTTGATACGCATCTGTGACTTCAGAACCCTTGCAACAACTCTTTGAAGAATCCGCAGGTGGCCTGTTGCAAGGCTAAATTCATGTCCTTATCCGATATGCCCTCATTTTCCCGTGGCAGTCCACAATTTCCCGACCTGCAACCCATTTGACCTCTTACCGGACCTACCTATTGTATTTATTCTTGATTTCTTTTAGTTTTGAGGGTCCGTAGGAGACCTGTTGCAAGGCTAAATTTCTGTCCCTATCCAATATACCCTCATTTCCCGTGGCAGTCTAAATTTCTCCGACCTTAATCCCTTAATCTATTACAGAACCTACCTATTGTATTTATTGTGAACTTGCTCTCGTCCTGAATATGCATGAAATATTTGCCACTGGACGTTAAGCAATCAACAATCAATCAATCAATTTTAGTTTTGAACATGCATGAAACATTTGCCACTGGACGTTAAGCAACCAACAATCAATCCTGATTAAAGATTGTTCCAAAACTTTATACAGTTAAATACATGTATCATCAACATATGGATTGCCTTGATATACGTCCTAGTCCTGTTTCATATGGTATGTCTGAACGATTTATGTCAATGATTCCATCAATGATCGAATGTTTTTAACTCTTAACCCTTTGAACTATTTTGGATGAAATTTGCTCTGCATCTGTGTGTTCTTTAAATTTTAGGTCCAATAGCACTGTTGTTCATGTTTAATTTGGACAATACTTGATTAGAAAAAAAAAGAATTGCATTTGTTAATAGGCCAAGCCTATGTAAGCCCTCGGTTCAGATTTTTATCCACTTCTGTATCACATGATTTTTATTATTGTTCACAAATTCCAAACATCGAACTCATGTGACACTTCTGGAAATTCCATCTTCATAATGCATCGTATATGAACATGCCGATCTGTGGTTAACAATTTCTTCAATCCTTAACCCTAATGTCGAAAAAGACGAGTCGTGCATTTTCGGGATCCCGCAATATTCGTTACTTTAAAAGATGACAGTTTCAGTTACCTTAGTCACAACAAATATAACAATGCGTTGGGTTTCAATATCAAAGAATGAATAGGTGCAATCTTTCGAACTCAAGACTAATGAATCACTTCACCATTCGTTTGATGTGTTTGGGCTTTTGATTTTGCCATTTGATTACGGACTTTTCGTTTTTGAATTTCCTCGGAGTTTGGTATTTTTGTTATTTTACTTTCTGCTAACCGTTACTAGCGATATTGGTTTTAATTTTTTTCCAACTCCACTTCTTGTAATAATGTCCACGTGTGTTCAATAACAGGCATTAAACATTGCCTTTAAATTTTATTGTATATGTGAGAAATAATTCAAGCTGAAAATTCTGCAAACTGTGATGAGAGGCTGTTTACCCTACAAAAAGTGTTACTTACTAACAGGTTCTTGCAAAAATTTGTGTGAGCTCAATTTTACAATCAAGTGTCCACTTGTACAATATGCCGTGATGGTAATTACAGTTCCATCTGACACGTCTTAAACAAGTGTCTTCTACTTCTTCTTCCATTTGCAGTTCAGTCCAACATCTGGTATATTTTCGAAACTCATCGTCTGGTTTTAACTTCTGCTGGTGATATGTATTGTACAGGATGTTGAAGACTGAGGGATTTAAATCCCTCCTTACAGGACTTACAGAAAACATCAACAGAAATGCGAGGTAAGTGATATTTACACATAATTCACCTTTTATACCCGTATCCAAGCGGTTCATCTTATGTATGTTACTTGCACTATTTTAAGAACAACATTACTACTATAGGGGGTTCTTGGACCCCCCAAAAAAAATTAAGACCCCCAAGTTATATCATCTTACATAATCTCAAATGATATAATATGACATAAAATGACATAAAATGATATAATATAAGGGTCATAGATAGATGATGGGGGTCATAAATAGCTTATATGAATTATACCCATCATATTATCTAATACCGGATGTCATAAGATGGGGGTTATAACTAACCTATATGAATATAACCCCCAAGTAATAATATTATATCTCAAATGAAAAATACAATAGTATCAACAACAACAAAAAATAACAAGGATATGTAATAAAATTAATATATATTTTATTCTCATTAAACATAGATTATTAATTAAAAAAAGATCCAATTAAAATATCTTAGTTTTTTCTGTATAACTTGTAGTACACGTAATATGTAGATGAGACAAATCACCACTGATTCAAGTCACAAAATAAAATTTATACACTTTAAAGTGTAGATAGTTCCTTTATGATCCCAATCCATTTCTTACCCGAAGGTAACACAGACGTTTTGTATAAGCATCAATTACTTTTACTTCTCTTACTAATCTCCGTTTGTGCCTCTTGAAAAGCATCTCGTGATAATTCATCAGAACATTCATATTAGTAATCTTCTGGTCTAGTATTTTAATTACATGTTCTAGATGATTTATTTCATCTTGTTCTACAGATCTGAAAAAATATTGTAATTACAATTTAAAAAAGTATCTAATACATAACAATCAATTTTTCAATATATATTAAGACATGAGTGTTTTCTTAATTTTTTAAAAGTTATTACTTAAATTACCCATAATTAACTAATTACATGTTTGTGTAGGTGTATATATATATTTTCATTTGTTTTTAACTGTTATACATTAAAATCCAATTGTAATCATACAATATCACATTATTTTTAAAAAAATAAACAAACAATAGGATAAAACTTAGAATAAAAAAATAAACTTACATAGTAGGGATATGTGTCCTGGTTTCTGTTTTAATTCCAGAAAGAACAAGTTGAGGAGGAGTAGACCTAAAAGAATAAATATAAAATTTATATTCTAAAAAGTATCATAAGCAATGAAAATATATATATATATATATATTTGTGTATGTGTGAGTAGGTTATGTGTTTGTCTGTATGTATGTATCTATATTACATTTATTGTCCAAGGTTAAATATCTTAACAAAGAATTACAAAGACAATCATCTCACAATTTCTTATTACTATAGTATCTAAAACAATACTGTAAAAACATAAAAATAAGAAACTTACATATTTTGGATATTTGATTTAATTTCCATTTTAGCTTTTTCTTCAGGTTGTCAATAGATCTGAAGATTAAATATGAAATATACAGTACAAAGTAGTATCACAAATAAATATATATATATATATATATTAGGTATGAATTACAGTTATAACTATAATATCAAAATTACATATTTTTAGAACATATGGATTTAGTTTAACATAAATATCAAAAGTATACATGTGATCCATACATGTATGTAAAAAATGAATAAAGTTAAAAGATAATTTCAATGAGTTTTTTCATATATTTAAAAAACTTAATAATTTTATTTTGCAATAAAGCATACATGGTTTATCACTAAAATATATTTTACCATTTATATCCAGAAAAATACTACCTAAAATAAAAAAACTATACTTACATTTATAGGTACTAGCTATAGCTGGTTCTCAATAGTAAATGAATACAATTTTTAGGGTTTTGACCAATATTTTATATCTATGTATGATATAACAAAATACAATTTGTAAGTTAAAATATATATGTTCTGAAGAGTTACAAATAAATCGAATAATTATCTATGAATACATCATTAGCAAAACTGAAAAAAAAAGTACAGTAGAAAGGTCTCATATAATTAAAATAATTATATATTATATATCATTATGACCCCATGTGACAGGTCAATGGTCATAGATAGGTATAAAATATGACATTATTACAAAACTATGAATACAGTGTATGATCCTGACATAATTATAAACCATGGGGAATTGTTTTCTTAACACCTAACATCAATATATATTGATTACATTGAAGGTTATTATAACTGAAGGGGTAAAGGGTCAAAGTTCACAAAAGATCTCAAATGGAGAAAAAAATTTAGTAAGAAGTATAATGAGTATAATTACAAGGCATGGACAATTGTAACATAATAGTGAATGTAATTTAGGAAAGATATCAAAATGATAATAGACTAGCAAAAGTAGAAAACATTTATGTTATAAACACAACAAACATAATTGATTTTATAATTTATAAAACACTCATAATATGATTTTCACTTAACAGATATAACCATAAATAATGAGATCTGATATACATGTTAATCCAGAAAAACCCTTTCAACATGTATACATGTAATGTATCTATATTTCGTCTGAAGTGCAGGTATGTTACCAGATATATTGAGGACGATTAATGTTATGGCTGTAGAATAATAGTGAGAACCGTATGGTGTTACGTTAACCATAAATATGATAATATTCATTTTTAATAAGTAAAATATGAATTCAATCACATTAATCTTTATCATACATAAAAGATACATTACATATATTTTACAAAATTAAATATAATACTAATTAAAAAACTATTAACTATTTTATTAATATCGAAATTCAATTTACACGTCACGACTGGTCTCTTTATTCAAATGAAGAAGACAAGAAGGCAGCCTTAATTATATTCACATGTTTATTCCTAAGTTTTATTGGACCTGTAAGAACACAGGAGGAAGGATGCAGGTATGATCTTGCAATAGGGTATTGCCCTTGCACAAATGAAACAAAGTTAACTCAGGAGGTACAATTGGTGATAATAGAAGGGAGCGATGGGTGCGATTGCACATTTCAACTTTGCCACACGTGTTCCAAACCAACAATCACGAACATTTACGACAGAGAATGCACTTGGAAGTGTGTAAACACTACATGTGGTAAGTTTTTTTATAACTACGTTGTATGTGAAAATGTATTTATAAATCGTAAGAAGATTTCAACGACTGTCTTAAAATAAATGGTATAGTGTCGAGTTCATTTGAAAAAAATAGATCGCCCCTTTTTAAGGTCGACCCTTTAAAAGTCCATATAAATCCTACAGATTTTGTATACATTCTTTGAGTTGAAATTTCTTTAAATAATTTTCATATATATATATTAATGAAATAAAAAAAAAAGTTTGATGACAAAAATGCAGGTTAACCATGTTAATAAAGGATAAACTACATTGTACCAAAATGTGGTTACATAGTATAAAAGCAGACAAACAACAAAATAATGTAAACTGTAGTATTATATTTAAGTATGAGATTCATTATTAACAATTTTAATCTATACCATGTGATGAAAATTTACATTTAATGTTCAATTATTGTGAGAAAAAAATATACTTTTATGTTTTTTTTTACAGTATGGAACAAAGAACAGTCAACTTCTATCTCAACAACATCTAGTACAGGTATGTAATAATGTTTTCAATTTTGTACATATATATATATGATCAATAATTAAATAGAAAAGATCAAAGATATTTGAATATCATGACTATTTAACAGATATTACAACAACAGTTAGTTAGGGTCAATCTGTACTATCAGTTAAAAATATTTATTTTTTTTCAGTTAAAGACCAAAAGCAGACAACCCACAGACAAAGAACCAAAACCACTAAAATAATAAAAACACAAACTACAGGTATGAAAATATGTCTTAATATTTTTTAAATATCTTCTATTCCTTTTCAATGAAAAAATATATAGCATTAGAATAGTAATCAAAAAGAGGAATCTTAGGTGTCATATTATTAACTCCATGTAGATAAATTTATACTATTAGTAAAGGTATAATTTATCTTTTTAGTTAAAGATATACAGACTAAAGACAATAGGAATTCAGCCAAAACCAGTAAAACAACAACAACAGGTATGAAACTAGATTATGTCAATATATCTGATATTCCTTTTTCATTGAAAGAAACATTCAACATTAGAATAGTTATAAAAAAAAATAATGTTATAGATCTAACTTGCTATAGATAAAGACAGAGCTATAGCCAAACATTATTTGTTGTCCTTTAATATTTCAATCTGAACAGAATCTTATATATGTCATTATCATTATTCTTTCTAAGTTTGTTAAAATATTGTATATTATTTTACAGTTAAGGACATAACATGGAGAAAGTTAACAACAAAAAGTAAAACTACAGGTATGAAATTGTTACCTTTTTTCTATGTCTTAAATTTTCTGTCTATTTATTATCCTCAATGCTGTTCAACTCTGTATTTTATTTAGCCTTTCAACTATTCTTAGTCCAGAATTACTGTTGACAATGATTTTTACTCTTATCAATGGAAAAAAAGAAAGAAAAATCCAACATCAAAGTAGTTAATTTAAAAAAACACTGTAAATTTATTGATCTTTTATAACTCATACTTCCTAAAAAGACAGTTACCATGGTAAAAAAATTATATATAAAAATAGAAACATAATTTTTAGTTACAGATCAAGATATAACAGTGGAAGGCATTACACAAGAGATGACACCAACCATAGGTATGAAAATAAAGCTCTATTAAATATATTTTAATTCATTTATAGATATAAGAAGATGTGGTATGAGTGCCAATGAGACAACTCTCCATCCAAGTCAAAATTTATAAAAGTAAACCATTATAGGTCACAGTATGGTCTTCAACACAGAGCCTTGACTCACACTGAACAGTAAGCTATAAAGGGCCCCAAAAATTACTAGTGTAAAACCCTTCAAATGGGAAAACCAACAGTCTAATCTATATAAAAAAACGAGAAACTCTTACGAAACACATCAACAAATGACAACTACTGAACATCAGATTCCTGACTTAGGACAGGTGCAAACAAATGCAGCGGGTTTAAAGGTTTTAATGGTACCAAACCTTCACCCTTTTTTCTGAAACAATAGTGTAACATCACAACATAGAAAGACACACTATAAAATATCAACTGAAATAGCTTAACTCAATCAAAGGACATATTAACACCATTGAATATACATACATTTATGTCTTTAAAGTAAACTGTGTCTAAAAACAAAAATTATAAATGTGGTTGTTAGGAACAGTGGAAAGAATTTATAATTCTATTTTTGGAAAGATTGGAATTTGTTCCAATTCTTTCCTAAGGTACAGACATCCCAAAAAGAAAGTAGACAGGTTAGCTACTAAATCAGTACCAACACTGCCATATAGTGTCCTATTGTTATCATATCTGTGTACATAAAAGTGATTTTTTTTTAATTTTTTTTTTTCATGTCATATAAATGTGTTGTTTTAAATTTCTTTTTCAGCTTTGATTGTTATAAAATGTAAATCAAATTATATAGTTTTTCTTTTTTTATTTATGTAGCACCCAACAAGACCTTCTATACAGGAACATCAGGATTTACAGGTACAATATACATGATTAGTACAACAGCTTTTGAATATGATATGGAAAAGAATCATAAGATTATATATATAAGTATAATTATTTTTGCTGTTACAATATTGATAATCATAATGTTAATAAGTTATAAAATATATATAATAAAAAAACAGAAATATAAAAAAATGAAAAGGAATGAAGTGTTTTTTGGAATGAATAATATATATAAAACAACAACTGTCAAATTATAAGGTATTTTTAAATTTATGTTTTATAGGATTATGGATTTGGGCTGGTGTGTTTACACTGTTTACATCTTTGGCATTTTTAAAATTATACCTACATCTAAGAAAACAACAACCACAATATCTACCCTTGAACAGAAGTGATAATACAGAAACCACCTATGCACCGTCTTATTTAAACACAACTCCATCCAGGCCAGTTATTCCACAACAAATTTTAACACCACCATCAACATCAACTCCATTAAAACCTTCATCTAGATCATCACCATCATTCCACTCAATTGTATCATACCGAGAACCTTCACCAGGCAGCACTACCTCATCAATACCATTAGTACCTATTATGTTTTTCCGAGACCCTTCACCAGAACCTTCAGCACCACCCTTGGAAGATCTAGAATCATTATCGTCAGAATCAACACCTACCTCACCGATTGCAGCCAGAACACGTAACATGATTAAAAGAAAAACAATGTTGTCTGATAGCAGTCTCTGAAAATAACATGATTTACACTAATCTTTGTTTACATACTCCTTATACTACACTATTCTGTATTGTTTCATTTTAAATTTAAAATTTTTATATCAATTTATAATATTAATCTTAAAGTATTAAACTATCATACAGAAAACCATAAACAGACTTGGTAAAATAATTTTTGTAGTTTTAAAAAGTTTAAAATTTTATTTTATTTAAGTTTAAGAAATGTAAGGGGTATGTATATTTATGAATAATGTTTTAAAAGAAAACAAGACTTATGGTTTTTGTATTAAACTGTTGTTTTTACATATAAGAATTATTTTCCAATATTTTTTTATTAGCACTGTTTGTGAAAGTTCTGACAAAATACAGTTTATAAAGTTTTATTCATAGTGCTATAACATAGAAATCCAAACATAAATTTATATATCATTTGCCCAACCAAATTTTTTTTCCTTTTTTTTATTTAAGTTTGTTGAACTTTATTATATAAGAATTAATTTTCAATTTTTATATTAACACTATTATGAAAGTACTGACAAAACACCTTTTATAAAGTAATTAAAACATTTTATTCATAGTGCTATAACATAAAATCCAAATGTAAAATTACATATAATTTGCCATGACCATTGCTTTCGTTCTTTTGTTTTAGTTAATATGAACTGTAAATAAGAAATTGTTATATCTATGATCATATTGTTATAATTTTTTTTCTTCATAAAAATGGTGTATTTTATTTGAAATATTGTAAAACTTAAAATACTTCACTTTTGTAGTAACATCAATGAATTGGCCATCTTAAAGGGTTTAACAGAATAAAATCATGTTTTATTACCATTTCTACATAGTTTTACTAAAACAAAATTACTTTGTTTTTTAATGTAATTTACAAAACCATGGATAAATTTTCAGATTTTTATAACAATAGGTAACACATACTAGTACCATACAGAAATCCAAACATAGACTTTAAATAATTTTAGTAGTTTTAGAATTAGAATTAGTTTTTTTATTAGTTTAGTTATAATTGAGTTTTTTAAGAAAGGGTAACACATACTAGTACCATACAGAAATACAAACATAGACTTTAAATAATTTTAGTAGTTTTAGAATTAGAAATAGTTTTTTATTAGTTTAGATATAATTGATGTTTTTTAAGAAATGTTATGTTTATAGTTGTTGTAAAACAAAGATTTTGTCAGGTCATTTTTTATTACTGAATTTGTGATATTGTTAAAGTTAAATAACCAGTTTGAATTTAATGGAATAAAGTGTTTTTGTTATTTTTTATATTGATCTATTTCATTCAATTGTTTTTGTTTCCTTAATGGTAAACTATCAGATTGTAAAAGTAAATTTAGATATTAATGTAAAATAACCTCATTATAGAATAGCAAACATAAACTTAACCATTTCAGTTATGAGAAGGACTTTTTATTTTTCTAAATAGTTTTAGTGTTTTTAGAGTAGTTTGTTATAGATAATATAATTATGTTTTGATGTAATGTAAGGTTATATCTTATCATCTTTTATAATTGTTTGAAATATTATTATTCATGTTTATACCAGCATACATATCTTTAAAAAAATGTTGTCAATTTCAAATGATACCAATGTTAAACTACCTCATTCTAAAATATTTTATTATATTAAGGACAAACTGTCTCTCTACAGAAATATAAACTTATCATTTTTTTTTCTTAATACTGTTACAGGTGTTTTAGATGTAGTTCAGTTTTAAGATAACATGTTTGTATTGTTTTCCATAAACTTAAACATTATGTAAATAGTTAAAACAGAGAATAAGTATTTGGGCCAATGAGTTGTCTTCCTAGTCATTGTTATTCTTTATGTATTTGGTGCTTTTTACATATATATATATATATATATATACTTTCATATAATTTGAAAACAACAACATGTAAACATTGAATATATTTTAATGTTAAGTTTATCAACAAGTATAACATAACTTAAATTATGGTACATGTTTTAATATTTCTGTTGTTGTTTTTTATAAGAAAATACTCATTTTTATTCAGTTGTTTTTTATGAAAGATAAACATGTGCAAGACATTTAACAAATACTCTTTTTTATATATTTTTTAGAACAAGGTATTATGAATATTACAATTTTGTAATTATTGTCTTTATAAGCAGAGACAGAGAGAGAGTGAGAGAGAAAAAAAAAAGGAGTTGAACTATTTGTTTATTTTTTTCTAACACTAAATGATATTTTGTTAAACATTTAAGAACCATTCCTTTTTTTTTTATACCAAGACCAAAAAATGTATATTTTTTTCAAGTTTGATATGTTTTTTTATATGTTGGATGTATATTTTGATTTTTGTTATGATTAAAAATTTTTTATTACACTTGTTATTTCAATGTCCAATTGAAAAACCCTATAAAGTTACATATGACCTCCTTACATTGTTGATCCGTAAACACATCACTCATGATGTGATATGACCTTATAACCCACATGTTTTTAGATTTAATAAAAATAACAATTATATGTGTTATTTTATTGATCAATTGAAAAACCACATGAGATTGAATTTGACCTCTTGACATTGTTAATCCTGAACACCCCCTACATGTGACATGACTGACCATTAACCTCAAATGTTTTTAATTTGTAAAAGAATAAATATTCTACCCTAAAAGGTTTTATCAGTATTACATATTAAAATGTATTCTAAATTATAGGATCTTAGAGATCTATTTATTTACATGACCGACACAAAAACTTGACCCTATCCTTAAATTATTAGACCATAAACATTTATTTTATTCCTATACAACAACAACAAAAAAAAAGACTATATAAAGGGCAATATATGTGTTACAATTTGTCAATTATGGTCAAAGGATGTAGTGTGACAACTTTCTAAAATGTAAGTAAAATAACTATATAAATGGAAACATATGAGTTACAATTTGTCAATCAGTGTTAAAGGATATAGTATGGTAGCTTTCAAAAATACAAGTAAAGGAGATTTAAAGGGTTTCATTTTGTCAATCATGATCAAAGGATGTCAGCTTTCTAAACTGTAAGTATATTTTATATATAAATAATACATATATTTAACAAATAAAGAAAAAGGCAAAACAAGATTTCATAGATATATTAGAAGCAAACTTTATTTTATTAAAAACTTTTTTTTTTTTCAGTAAATGATAAAACAACTCTTATAAAAAAAAAATATATAATGAAGGGTAAACCTCCAAGGTTGAGTGATATCATCAACAACTTTACAACTTTGGATGAGTTACAACAATGGGTATTAGAAAATCATTTAATGGCTCATCCCATAGTGCAACAAAGGATAAGATATTTTCAGTCATTGGGATTGTCAGATGTTTTAAATGGTTTTACAGATGCTGATAGTTTAATAAGTTGGGCCATAGACAACCTCATTTTGAGTAACACACAAGTTTTAGATAGACTTTCAGTTTTATTGACATGTCCAAAGTGTAATATGAGATTTCAATTATCATCTCAATTAAAGGAACATTTGGAATTCCATGAAATCACAGGGGTTATTGACACAATTGTTAATCTAGATGAACAACTATGGGTCTCAATTTACCCCAAACAGACACCATTGGGAATGAATACATAGATAATCTAATGTGATTGATATAGATACACCTTCCACAAGTCACTCGAGTTCACAATACATAGCTCACTGTAACAAAACTGATAATCACAACAGAGAAAACATCAATCGAAACAAACTAACCATAAGTCTCTCGTTACCTGAAGAGGAATCCATTTACACATCAAATGAATCAACAGATATTTCAAACGTTATCAACATAGATACAACATCAAGAAGTTTCTCAAACCCACAATGCATCACTGACAACACCTACATAGAAAACAATATTCAAGATTCACAAACGTCTCATGAAAACGGTATCAGACGAGATATCGTCTTGACCATGGATAACCTAGAGCAAAAAGGTGGTGGTAAGGAGACTGAAGAATTATCTTATCTATTTCGGATGTCAGGACAGAAAAAGTTCTCTAAAAATTTGGCGAAAGAGACGACTTTCAAAGTTAAATTCGGAGATACATGGAAGGATGAAAAATTACGAGATCTTCAAAAGGAACTTCGTGGTATGTTTGATGACGTTTTGAACAGAGCAAGAGGAGACGACAATGACCTTGGAAGAGTTATCATTACTCATCCACAACTAAACAACTCGATTGTCGTACCATTAGATAAGTGGTCCAACATCAACTCGTAGAGGGTCATGGAAGCAGTGGAAAACGTTCTAAATTCAGACGAAAATTTACCCTTAGATACAGCAATGCATGTAACGATAGGAAACATAGCCGTACCAACTGGTAGCGGCACTTTGCCAATCACTCGACTCCAGGGGTCAAACAATTCCATTGCTCTAAAAAGGTCTATGTTACAGGTATCCAATGACGACCATATGTGTCTGTCAATAGCCATAGGTAGATGTTTTTTAAAGCTCTGTAAAATTGTACCCCTCAATAAATGGCAAGAGGTAACCAGACTCGATGATGAAAATATGAACACATTTCAAAAGGTCATGAAACATCGTATGACCACAAATAGTTATCGTAAACACGTAAACGATTCTTCTGCGAATAAAAAATCTTATGGTAAAACGATGGCATTAACCATGTGTAAAGAAGTCAATTTACCTACAGATGAACCTCTAAGTATAAGAGATATAGATAAGTTTGAAGACTTATTGGACGTCAATATTATGGTGTTGTCCGCAAAATTAGGCAACAAGTTTTGTCGTGTAGGTAATGACGTAAAACGTGAAAACATTTACCTGTACCTTACAGACGATTCGAAGGGAGGAAAAGGTCATTTCGATGGGATAGGTAGCATAAACGGGTTTTTCGGATATGGGTATTTTTGCACTAGCTGTTTGAAACCTTATAAGAACAAAGGAAAACATTCATGTATTGCAACATGTGACGTTTGTGGTAGCCATACATGTATGGACGGTATCGATCG